GAATAGAATAGAATAATAGAATAGAATAGAATAGAATAGAATAATAGAATAGAATAGAATAGAATAGAATAGAATAGAATAGAATAGAATAGAATAGAATAGAGCTGGAAGGGACCTTGGAAGTCTTCTAGTTCAACCCCTGCTCAAGCAGGATGGTAAACCACTTCTGAAATCTTGCCAACTGCAAGGACTATCCAGAAGTCAACATGGAGGAGGAGGGGGGGAAGGAGAAGGAGAAGGAAAAGGGGAAGAGGAAGGAGAAGGAGGAGAAGGAGAAGAAGAAGAGGAGGAGGAGGAGGAAGAAGAAGAAGAAGAAGAAGAAGAAGAAGAAGAAGAAGAAGAAGAAGAAGAAGAAGAAGAAGAAGAAGAAGAAGAATAAGAAGAAGAAGAAGACGAAGAAGAAGAAGAAGAAGAAGAAGAAGAAGAAGAAGAAGAAGAAGAAGAAGAAGAAGAAGAAGAAGATGATGATGGTGATCATCTCTATCTTCTCTCAGCTTAGGAATCTACTTTTAAGTCAACTTTTCAAAGAGGAATCTTCCTACTTTGGTTCAAAAGAATAATTTTTGCATATCAACACACACAAACACACACCAGCCAACAAAACAACGTTTTCTTACTTGTTTCAGCTTTAACCTTTGATCTCTGCTTGTTAGAAGGAAGGATTCTGCAAGATTCCCCAAGGAAAAACTGCTGGGACTACGGAGACCCATTTGGACAAGTGGACTGGTGGCTCTTTGTGCTGCTAAACTTTAGTTGTAATAAGTTCCCTTTCCAGTGACTGGCCAAGCAGAGACACATTTTCCACGCAGAACCCTCTGCCTGCTCAGATCAGATGAGGCAGCCTCACTTTTTTTTTTTTTTTTTTCTTGCACAAGGCAGCCTATGAAATATTTAGCGGGCCGCCAAAGGCAATTACATTAGAGAAGCTAGTTAAACACCCCTTAGCCGAGGGCACCCTCCCCCCCACTGCCATGTAAATCAAACAAATTGGACTCTTTTCACAATCAACACACATGATTTTATTTACACTAAATAATTTAGGGTTTTTAAAAAAGCCAGGGCAGACTTTGCCCTATCTGTAAATTTTTTGTGCAGTTTTGTTTTCTCTGCTGAGAGTTCACAAAGTTGGGGATCCTGCTTCTCCTCCTTAATGAAGGAGATGAGGTTGGGGGAAGAGAGAGAGAGAGAGAGAGAGAGAGAGAGAGAGAGAGAGAGAGAGAGAGAGAGAGAGAGAGAGAGAGAGAGAGAGAGAGAGAGAGAGATTTACTGCCTGAATGATCCTTTAAAAGATTCCTATTTCTTAATGGAAGAGAGAGCTATGTTCGCTCCAGAAACTCACCAAGTTGTCCATGCAGGATTAATGCTAAAGGAAGAGGCAATTCACCTTTTTAATTGTCCCCTCTGGCGTCTTTGGTGGGTGACTGTATATTTTCCCCCCTCATTAAGATCGCTCCTTAGTCACAAAATGGAAGACGTTTTTGAAGGAAGGGTTTTGCTGAGGTGACTATTTCTTATTCTCTCTTTTTTAGAGCTGGTAACCAATTGTCCTGCATTCCTCTTTTCTAATCCAGTGAAAACCATCCTCTGCAGAAGATCCATAATTAGTATGGTACTCCTGGTTCCCCCCCCCCCTGATTTTTCAGCTTTTGACCTTCAGCCAGCCTTTAAAATGGTGAAAACATATATCAAATATTTGATCAAAGTCAACTATCTTCTAGCTGCTCCTTTTAGAGTTATATTGGAGCAAGAGAAGGTACCTGAATCCCTCCAGAAGTTGGGAGAATCAGCTCCCATCAGATCCAGGCTTCCTGGTCTATAGATAGATAACAAAGTTAACTAATTAAACTATGAACCGTCTGCCAAGCCCAGCATTGTTTGCCTTTATACTGAAGAAAAATTCGACAAGGATAAAAGTGTTCTGTAAACAATTGTTTGCTATTTCCCTCACCCCCTAATTAATCAACAGTGTACTAGGTTTATCTATCCTCTTCTATCTATGGCTATCTATGAACCTCTGCAATGCCTTCACTGACGTATTCATTAATAGAGAATTTGAAAGATGGCAAAATCCTGAGGGACAAAACAATATGGAAGAACCAAGAATTTTTAAGTAGGGAAACATGGTTGCTTAAATTGAAAGGTCTTGCTGAGATAAATAAGCTAACTGTCTTTGATTAGAGAAAAGACACTATTTACATTTTTGGTAACTGGAAAGGTCTTACGGACTTTTTGCTTGAAAATGAGAAATAAATGAACCTGTGATTTATTGCTTTGAAGATTAGGCAGGATAAATGATAGAAAGAAGGGTATTACAGTTTAGCTTAAGAGAGAGAAGCGAAACTATATATTGTATATTGTAAAATATACCACATATATGTATTGTACACATTGTAAATTGTACTTATAATTTCTGTAATTAATGTAGAAGCCACATCTTTATATCTTTTTACCTTTTCTATTTTTCTTTAACTTTTTAACTTTTTGTATTTTTGCTTTTTCTTTCCTTTCCCCCCTTCCTTACTTTAAGTTAGTTTGTATTAGTTTTTATCTTCTTCTTTTTTAAAAAAAAAGCTTCAATAAAAATCACATAAAAGAAGTAAGAAAATATGAGTTATGCCCACCTTGATTTCTCATTTGTATTTTTTTAAAAAAATGGTATTCTGATTCCAGTATGAACCTGCTTTTTTTTTTAAAAAAAAAACTAGTTTGTATAAATGTATAAATGTTTTAAAAGAATGGCATTAATTTTATCACACCATTAAAAAAAAATGTGCCACCCAAACTTCAGGTTGTGTTCTTCTAATTCTAACAGTCTCTTATTTCTCAACAGAGATGATGCGGCCATGTAAAGATAATAACTGAGGAATGGGTGGCAAAAGAAAAACATGAAGGGAGAGTGAATGGATCAAGAGGAAAGAGAAGAAAGAGAAAGAAAGTTGTGTTTGGGTGAAATTAATGAGATCATCAAAAAGAGAGAAATATAAACATCAATGGGTAACATATGAAGCAGAGATGTGGCGAAAAGAGGATGGTTTGAAAAAATATATAATAAAGGGTGTAGTGCAGGGGTCTTCAAACTTGGCAACTTTAAGACCTGTGGACTTCAACTCCCAGAATTCCCCAGCCAACATGGCTGGCTGGGGAATTCTGGGAGTTGAAGTCCACAGGTCTTAAAGTTGCCAAAGTTGGGGACCCCTAGTGTAGTGTAAAGTAGTTCTAACTGTGTTTCCTTTTATTATTCCTGTCTCATGCCTTTCGTTTCTTACTATCTTCTTCTATTCTGCCTGATGTTGCTTTCCCTAACAGAAAGTAACAGGGTGGTAGTTAACAAAGCATTATGTGAGAGCCAGTGAGAATATGCAGCTCTTCCTGCCATTCAGATCCAGAGAACCATCCACTACATTTTAAAAGTTATTTAACTAGGATGACATTTTGGAGACATAACTCTTCACCGAGCACATCTTTTAATGGAGAAGAAGAGGGAGAAATCAGTGAAGAGAACTTAGGTGATTTTTGTCCAGCAAGCTTGTGCACAGCTAAAATAGACAAACCAGGGAATATGTGGTTTATCTAACAAATCATCTTCTAAAGTTTATGATTTGTTTTGTTTTGTTCATTTGTTTGTTTCTTTTATTATCCGTTTTTTCAAGCAGTTCTCACAAGGGATGGCACCTCAAGTGTTTTCATCACCCCACCCCTACTTTGTGTGTGATGTTGGGATTGTCTGAGGGACCTCATTCTCCTGGAGTGATCAAACATCTGCTAATGATCAGCGTAAGACAGATTTTTGTCTTGTCTTATCCTACACACCCCATCTTCTCTTCTCTTCTCCTTCCTTCCTTTCTTCCTTTTCACCTTCTCTTCTCTTCCCTTCTTCTTCCTTCCTTCCTTCCTTCCTTTTTCACCTTCTCTTCTCTTCCCTTCTCCTTCCTTCCTTTCTTCCCTTTTCACCTTCTCTTCTCTTCCCTTCTCCTTCCTTCCTTTCTTCCTTTTTCACCTTCTCTTCTCTTCCCTTCTCCTTCCTTCCTTTCTTCCTTTTTCACCTTCTCTTCTCTTCCCTTCTCCTTCCCTTTCTTCCTTTTTCACCTTCTCTTCTCTTCTCTTTCCTTCTCCTTTCTTCCTTTCTTCCCTTTTCACCTTCTCTTCTCTTCTCTCATTCCTTCCTTTTTCCTCTCCTCTTTCCGCTCTACTTCTCTTCTCTTCTCTTCCTTCCCTTCTCCTCCCATCCCTGACAGCCTCTACCCATCTCACTAGGTCAGATAGGGGGGGCAAGCTCCAAAGGCCTCCCTTAAATGTTGTCATATGGTGGGACATCAGAGGTCTTCTGTGTAGTCCCCCTTGGAAGACCCTCCCAGTTGAGATTCCAGGAGCTCCTACACTTTTCGCCTTCCAGAAGGCCATGAAGATCTGGCTTTCCTCCCAAGCCTTAAACTGGGATGGGGTTGAGTCAGCAAGTCAAGAGTTTGGTTGGTCTGTCGCCTGGTGGGAAGGAAAGGATTGCTCTGTTTCTATGCCATCGTCTTTATGGCTTGTCGAGAGCAACCTAGAATCTCCACGCGAGACAGGGAGCCACGTAAGTTCTCCAAACAAACAAACAAATTCGGGCGCAACAAAACCAACCCAACCCGAAGCATAACTTTTAGGGTCACTTTTTCAATGCAGAGCTGGAGTTCCTCTCTCTTCCCCCCCCCCACACATACACTCCTAGTCTCTCCCGCCCAGCTTCATCCTTCATCCTTCTCAGCAGCTTAGCCCCACCTGGTCGGAAGCCAGAAGGGTGCCGTCGGACCGGAGGGAAGCCCGCCGCCGCGCCTTTCAATCCAGGATGCCCAGGACGGGAGCCAGGGTGACGCTTCCCTCCCGAAAGCGGCACCACGGAGGGGGCGGGCACGGCCTGCCTCTTCAGCCAATGAAGCGGCGGCCCGCTGGAAAGGCGTGGCCAGGATGGTCCTATAATGTCATTGAGAGTGCCGGTCAGAGACAATAAGACGCGCCGCCGAGCTGGAGGGGCCACCTGCTCGCCTCCTCCGGTTCCTCTTCTCCTTCTCCTCCTTCGCCGCCGCCTCCCTCGCCGCCACCATGATGTCCATGAACAGCAAGCAGGCGTTCAGCATGCACCCCATCCTGCACGAGCCGAAGTACACCCACCTGCACTCCAGCTCCGAGGCCATCCGGAGAGCCTGCCTGCCCGCCCCGCAGGTGAGGAGAAGTGGGGAGGGGGGGGGAGCCGGGAAGGACAAGGAATCGGTTGGTGGGGTTCAGGTTGGCCAGCTTGGGTATCCTCGCCCCCTTCCCTCCCCCCCCATGTGGCCTAGGAGAGAGAGAGAGCTGCAAGCGCTCCCCTCCCCCTCCAATGCCTGTCTAGATCCAGATTCCCGGGAGAAGACTGGGGGGGGGGACCGGGTGGGCTTCGGAGTGATCGCCACCGATCCCACCGGAGAAATCTCCCGGGACTTCTGCGGAATGCAGACCGCACCGGCTCGCCCCCCGCCCCCGGCCCGGTGTTTATTCAACCCCGCCGCGACGCCAAAGGGTAGGAGAGTTGCAAAGTCCCGTTCGGTGTAGCTTCTCGTTCGGGGGGACTCGAACCTCCAAGAGACGCTCGAGTGCTGAAAAAGGACGCCGTGAAATGTCGTCGGACGTCCCCCTTCTCCAGCTTTACCCCCTGGTCCCTCAAACGCACAGCCTTCTCTCTCTCTTTCAAGCTCCAGGGCTCGGGGAGACGTTTTAGTCTCTGTCGGGGAGAGGGGCGGCGGTTGGGAAGGGCTCCGGAGGCCTCGGAGGGATCGGTCGGTGGGCAAGAACCGGCTAGGAGGAAGACAGATGCCCGCGGGTCTTTCTGGGTGGCTGCGCACGCTGGGAATTGTAGTTGGGGCATCTCTCGGTGGCCCGAAGGGGGCAAGCACTGGGGCCAGAGGAGGAGGAGGAAGGGGGGGGAGAGAGAAAGTTCCGGGGATCCCAGATGTTCCCATTTCGGGGTTCGCCCGTCGTGCCAAGGGCTCGTTGCTCCAGGAAGGAGCCCGGGTTAGCAGAGCGAGCGGTGGGCGGGAGGTTAGCGTCGGGGGGTCTCCCGGCGGTTCTCCCTCTCTGAGCCCGGTGTCGTCTCTCTTCTCCCCCTTCCGCCCCCCTCCCCTCGCAGCTGCAGAGCAATTTCTTCGCCGGCCTGGACGAGACGTTGCTGCGCGGGGCCGAGGCGCTGGCGGCCGTGGACCTGATCTCTCAGAAGACCCACCACCCCTTCAAGGCGGACGCCACTTACCACACCATGAGCAGCGTCTCCGTCTCCTGCACGCCCACCTCCTCCTCCGTCCACCTGCACCCGCCCGCGGGGCTGAGCGGCCACGCGCACCACGCGCACCCCCACCAGCCGGCCCAGGGCCTGGAGGGCGAGCTGTTGGAGCACCTGGCCTCGGCCTTGCCGCTGGCCGACGTGGGCGTCGCGCCCGCCCACCCGCACCCGCATCCCTCCGCTCACCTGCCGGGCCTCAACGGCCTGGGCCACCACACGCACGGGCAGCCGCCCCTGGCCATGGGCTCCCCGCCTCCCCAGGGCCTGGCCTCGCACCCGGCCGTCCTGGCCGGCGCCGAGACGGAGACGGACCCGCGCGAGCTGGAAGCCTTCGCCGAGCGCTTCAAGCAGCGGCGCATCAAGCTGGGCGTGACCCAGGCCGACGTGGGCTCGGCCCTGGCCAACCTCAAGATCCCCGGCGTGGGCTGCCTCAGCCAGAGCACCATCTGCCGCTTCGAGTCGCTCACCCTCTCGCACAACAACCTGGTGGCCCTCAAGCCCATCCTGGAAGCCTGGCTGGAGGAAGCCGAGCGCGCCCAGCGCGAGAAGCTGGCCAAGCCCGAGGCTTACTCGACGGGCGACAAGAAGCGCAAACGTACCTCCATCGCCGCGCCCGAGAAGCGCTCGCTCGAGGCTTACTTCGCCGTCCAGCCGCGGCCCTCCTCCGAGAAGATCGCGGCCATCGCCGAGAAACTCGATCTCAAGAAGAACGTGGTGCGGGTCTGGTTCTGCAACCAGAGGCAGAAACAGAAGCGCATGAAGTTCTCCGCCGCTTATTAGGCCGCCGGCGGACTGGGGAGGGGGGGGAAGGACGGGGGGGGAGGAAGAGCAGCCGCCCGCCCGGCCGGCCGCTTGCCCACGCCACGCGCGGGACTGGAGGCGCGTGGCGGCTTCGGAAGGGGAGGACGGAGCGCCGCTCTCCAGGCCCGGCGGCCAGGCCCGAGGTGGAGGCGCTGCTTTGTCGCTTGGACGCTTCAGCCATCCCGGGACCTTTGCAACCGCCCCCCCTCCACGCCCACTCCTGCCGAGGTGTGTGTGTGTGCGTGCGTGCGTGTGTCGGGGGGAGCCCCCCGCGCGGATCGGAACTGAGCCCCACGCGGAAACCCAACCGACGCAACCAAGCAGCAAAAGACACTCTCGTTTTCTAACTAAAAGAACAATGCAAACCATTAAAAGCGTTGCAACGAAGGGAGGGGGGGGACCTTCCCCCCCCTCCCCACACCTTTATCGTATTCCTGGTGAGTGACAAAAGTGGCGGTTCTCTCTTTTTTTCTTTTTTCTTTTAATTTTCCCCCGTGCGTTTCTTTTCTTTTTGATCGAACAGAAGGGAGAAAATTCCAGCCCTGGTATCATTAACCCCCCCCCCATCCCTGAATTTACAGAAAAAAGGCCAGTTGCATCGTTGGTGTGTTTTTTAAGATAATGCACTGCCGTGGAGCCAGTTTTGGACCGCCGTTTAGCAACGCTGAGGCTACAACCGACTTCGACCGCGTGCTTTTTTCTCCCTTTTACTTCGGCGAAGGAAAAAAAGAGAGAAAGACAAGAGGGGGAAAAAACTATCCAAAATCAGACAAAAAGGATTCCCCCCCCCCGTGACTTCATTTCACCCACCTCTTCGTCCCTCCCCGCCCCCCGCATGTCTGGGGTCTCTCGCCTCCTCCTCCTCCCCCCCCCGCCTCTTGATCAAAAGACCCTCCTCGCCTGGTTTGCAATAAACGTGGTTCCTACCTCATCCGTCGAAGCGAGAAAGAGGAGAAAGTTACGAGTGAAAGCAAAACGGGGGCCAAAGAAACCAGCGGGGTTGCTTTCCAAACCTGGGGAGGTGGGGGGGGGGGCTGGAGGTGGCGAGGAAGAAGGCTTCCTGGTTTAATTTTAATTTGACGTTACACGGAAGATGTGGATGGCTGTATACTTTCATTGTAAAAAAAAAGAAGGGGGGTCGGGAAAGGGGAAAGCACGGCGCTTTGACAATCAATTAAACCTCGCGTTTCGTTGACTCCTGAGCCCGTTTGAAACGCGCCTGAGATTTCCACGAGGGAGGCGCGCCAGGGGTCTCAAGTCCACCGTCCGGATCGTCAGTACAATGTTATTCTTATTTATTTCTTCCCTACTTCCCAACCCTCTCTCGAGGCCCCAGTTCAAGCGTGTTTCTTTGGGGAGGGGGGGGGGAAGGGAAGAGGTGGGAGGTGTCTCTTCATTTATACGGCCTTTTTTTAAAAAAAAAAAAACACAAAAAAAAACAAAAAACAAAACACGAGCACCCTGTTTCGCAAAATTAAGTTATTTGCAAAAAATAAAAAATAAATCACAGAGCACTTTCTAAGAAGCAGCTTTTTTTTTTTTTCCCTCCTCCACCTTTCGGTTGCTTTATCTAGGGAATAACAGGGAAATGCCCTCCGTTTCTTTTATGTTTTCTTTTCTTTTCTAAACGGGGAGGGGGCTGCGGGGGGGGGGAGAGAGACTCTACCGTTTGTGTGGGTGTGAGAGGACCGCCCTTTCTGTGTCGGTGTATGCTCCAGAATTTCAAATAAAACCTGCACGTTTATACCTCATCCCGTCCCCAAGGCTTTGGATGAACCCGGCGAGAAGCGAACCTACTACGCGAAGGGAAGGGGGCGAAATTGAAAACCGCTTTTTCTCTTCCCCCCCCCCCCAGCTTCCTGATCAGCGGAGGCGTTTTGTTCCGTGTGTGACTCTGCATTTGTGTGTTGCCAGGCTGAAACGATCCCATTCCTTTCAGTCTTAAGACATCCGCGTTGAACGAATGCCGTTGAGAAGGAAATGGATAAAAAAAAAAGCTTTATATCCCAACATGAAGACCTGGTGAAGATTTAATGTCTAAACTTGGCGTTAAGCTTGGTTGGGTTGGGTTGGGTTGGGTTGGGTGGTTTAGCGAGTTGCACTAATCCAACGGTGTTTGCTACTATGTTGTGCGCACCCAGCCTTACCCCGTTTGTGTGAACTCGGCCAGTTCCCCAGACCCAATAAAGACTCTGGCTTGGCGGACTGTTTACAGTTCGCAAATTCCGATAAGAATAACTCGATCCTCAGCTAGCTAAGCCGGGCTGAAGTTCTGTTTTTTTAATTCACAGACTGAAGTTCTTTTTTTATTCACAGACGCCAGTCCTAAGAAAGCCACGTTCGGCCGACAGCGGACGATTAATAATAGTAATTATAACCATAATTTCCTAGATGACTTTCCCCCCCCCCCAAAAATCCTAAGGGATGGACTTTTGTTTTTCTGTTGGGGTGAGGTAGGGGGCTGCGCGTCTGTGATTTATATTCCTCCCCCCCCCACCTCACTTTTGAAACCCCTCTGGGATTCCCCGCCCCCCCCCGCAGCTTCTGTAGTTCCGAAGGCGGGGCGAAGTAGCCGCCGAGACACGGGAAATCAACCAAATATTTCATTAGGGCCTGCAGATTGAGTTGTCGATATAATCCTTTGAAGCTGAAAATGCTGCTTATTAAAGTGATTCCTAATCAGAAGTAGACAGGCGGGGAAACAGTTCACTGTGCGGTAGAGAGTCGTGAGCGCTGTGCACTACAACGCCCCTCATCCCCTGCCCAAGCCACACTGATCGAGGACCGTAGAATTTACAGTTGGTCTGGTCTGGATTGGGAAGGTGGTTGTTTTTTTAAAAAAATTATTATTTTAGTTCTCTTTTGCGTGGGCAGAAATGTGGAGCCTCGTTCATCAGAAGGCAGAAATTGGCTCGAGTTTTGTTCGAACTTCATTAGCTGCAAAAGGTGCCCTGAAGAACATCGAAAGCCTGCTCTGTGGGTGTGTCTACACACGAATTGCGCTTCAGAAAGAGTTTGGGGGAGTCTCTCTTTCTTTTTACAACAACCCTGTAGTGCAGGCTACATCAAAGAATAGACCGTGGTCCATTCGGAAATGGAAACATCCACCCCTGTCCGACCGCGCGCCTCATTTTGTTTCGCTCTTTGTCCTCAGATCAGAAGGAACAGTGTTCTAGTGTATGCACGCATTTATTAAATATATGTAGAGACCCAGTCCGTAGGTTGTGTGGAAGAGGTGAGTGAGGCAGACTGCTTCTTCTACAGCTTTTCACCTTGGCAAGAGGAATGTGGAGATTTGGGGGAAAAAATCTAGACATGGAAAAATTATTCAAACAAAATTGTAGAGTTCTAACTCTACAGAGTGTCAACTGGCGCAAAGCACGCGGGGTGCTCTTCTGACTCAATCACCCAATGACCCAACTCTTCACCCAGTGCAGGAGATCATCGTTCCCTCCCAACCTTTTCCTCTCTGGATGTTAGACTTACTTCTGCCAGGTGCTCAAGGAGCAGTTAGCCAACTCCCAAGACCCTACTGTGGATTTCTTTCTGCGGGGGTGAAGGTTCGTCCTCCGAGCTTGTGAGATGGTTTCGTTAACCAGGCTAGGTAACATCTTCAGAGGAGTTAGGGGATGTCAGTGCTCTTCTGTTCATCCTGCACCCGAGCCACAGATATTTGCCACTGTTCCCTCCTTCTTGTGCCAGATGGTTGCCTACCAGTGGCTCATTCCGACCTAACAAGGCCACTTATCTTTCGATGCCTGGAGAGAAAAGGATAAAGAGAGCAGAGACTGCCAAAAAAAAAATGACAAGAAAGCTTCTGGATTCATCCATAGAGCCCCTTCCAACTGCCAAACTTTGATGAAGATAAGATCTAGGCTGTATTGTTGGCAAGAAGGAAATTATTGGTGTCCTTCTCACCCTGAGTAGGATGCTTCCGGCCATTGCCATCTTCAAGAAAATGCACATCTGAGTAAGAAAATTTGAGAGCTCCGTTATCAGGACCTGCTTAACTGGTCTGGGGTAGGACAGGGGGAAGCAGGTTTTCCAATCACCTAAAACAATCCTTTACCTCCAGGAAAGTCCAGAAAAGAATGGAGTTGAACTACTTTTACAGACCTGACAACTGTGTGGCATGAATCCAGCCAACTGGAACTCTCTCCTGCTCCCCAGTTGTTCTTTCCTTTGTGCCTTAGCTTCTCAGTGGGATGGTAAACGGCTCCAAGAGTTGCAGATGGTGTTCATAAAACACGTGTTGCTTGATTACTGCACTAATCCATCTTTCTGGTATAGTACAATGAATTAATGGAGGTTAGCCAAGTGGGCTGGAATTGCACAGGCCACTTGCAGTAGCATCCACACAATCTTAGGCGATCAGGAATAAAACTCAGAAGATTTGAAGGGCTTTAACTGATCTGTGGAAGCAAGCTGGAAGGTGCCCTGGAGTCCATCACACCCAACTATCTGCCTGAAAGTAGGCTGGAGCAATCCAAAAGAAGAAGAATCACTCAAAGAAGAAGACAGCCAGGGCAGCCAATCCGTCCCACTGTCCAATAACGTCCAAATATTCAGGAGGACCAGGATTGTCCAATCTTGGCAACTTGGCTGGGAATTCTGGAAGTTGAAGTCCACAAGTCTTAAAGTGACCAAGGTTGGACACCCCTGCTGTAGACTGTTTGGCATCATCTCTAGTCATTATCTGGTGATGGACATTTCCACCCATTACCCTTTCAAAAGCAATGTGGGGGGGGGGAGCAGCTGCCAGCAGTTCACACACACACACACACACACACACACACGTAGACAGACCTTGGGATCCCATTTCCAGGCACCCCTCCACACACCCCTACTTTGCAGGGTACGTTTTTGTTTCTCCTAAGCGTAAAGGTCACCCATTATTCCTAGCCAAACGCTGTTTGGCTACGAAAGTATGTGTCGAAGAGACCACATTTGCATCTCTACTTAGAAGTTACCCACATGAA